GCCGGGGTGCTTACTACTACTACTACTACTACTACTACTACTACTGCTGAGTTCTAGTTCGGAATCTGCGGCAGCTCCCAAATTCCACGATGACCATCGGGGCCTTGATAAGTGATAAGTAGAACAGGTTGTCAGTATACACGATACCAGGAGTTATATAGGGAATTCTGACCCCCACGTCACGACGGTGCCGACCAAGCAACCGTTGAGCCAGGTGGTAGATGAGAGGCGACAGGCGAAGGCGAGCGCCTGCGCTGAGAGGTATACAAGGCATGGGAACTACTGTATTATTTATCATTCAGTGGCTTTTTGGGCCCAAAACCTACAAGGGAACTACTGTACTTTATCATTCAAACTTTACAGTGTGCGTGGCTTTTGGGCCCCAAAACCGTGCATCAGCCGATGAGCCGATCAGCCACTCAGCCGATGAACCAACCCAAAACCCTAAACCTTAAACCCCTAAATCCTAAACCCTACCCAAAACCCCCTAAACCCTAAACTCTAAACTCGAAACCCCCTACACCCTAGACCGCTAAACCCCTAAACCCTAAACCCGACCACCCGATCCGCCGACTGGCGGATCGGCTGATCGGCTGATGCGCAGTTTGGAAACCCACTTTGCAAGCACAATGAAACTTTATGAAACACTGTTTTGCTACCGGTCGAAGCCTTTTTGATTATGAACTAGTGTGGTTGCCGTCATTTAGACCGTTCTGATAAGTAATCATGCGTCATTTATTGCCATGACATTGCTGCTACTAGTTTGGCCGTAGCTAAGCACCGGTCAAGATGATTTGGCCAACTTCTTCCCCCGGCTCCGCATCAATAGCATAAGCAGTTGACAAAGCAGTTGTAGCCGGTACTTCCTGTAGAGCTCCACTGACATGTTTGGTCTCCAGTGTGCGAGCTGCTGGCTTGCCTCCAGGACAAGGGACTTCGCCGACAGGCCGGCGACACTGCCTCCAGGCATGCAGGGCCATTACCGTCATGGGTTGTATCTGCCGAAAGCATTAAAACACCCCACGAGACGCACCACAGAAAGGACAGCAAGAAGCACGGCACAAACAGATACCTGCACAAGTGCAGTCACAATCACCACCACCACCAGGCAAATGTTGACACTGTTGGCTGCTAGGGACTGGCCTTGGGATAGTGACTTGATGGTGAGCAGGACAAATGCCAGGCATTGGATCATCTGTGCCATGGTCAGAATGGAGGAGAACTCGCCATTGGCAACCAGGTGGTAGACCTTGATAACAGCGATTCCAAGGAAGAGAGACTCTGAATCAGACCTGAACACCCAAGCCCCTCATCCTGCACCCTAGCTACGCCTCTGGCCAGTGCTGGTATGCTTCCAGCGGAAGTTCACAAGGCTTGAAAAAACTTGAAGGCTTAAGCAGTTTAAGCTCAACGACATTACGGTTGAGGGTCGGTCATTTAGGGCTTGGACTTGCTCCAACCTTGGAAGGCTGCGAGCGAAGAGCTATATGAGGATAGTTGCTTTCCTTTGCAACTCCAGCTATGTTCTTGCCCGAAAATGCAACTCCAGCTATGTTCTTGCCCGAAAATTTCGCCTGCAGTCAACATGTTGCGCATTCTTAGTCCAGGTGTCGCTCTGACCGTGGCGGCAGCAACGGCTAGCAACCCCCAAAAAGCAGCAACAACAAAAAACAACAGCCGACAACATCACAACAATCATGGACAATTACTCTCGCGAGCGTGGTGTGGCACCCATCGTGCATCGACAACAAGTAATGACCTTGTCAGCACCACCATAACTGCTGTGAGTATTATCAATAGTGCAACAACATCATCATCAACAACAACAACATCAGCAGCAGCAGCAGCAGCCGCAGCAGCAGCAGCCGCACCACAACCAGCACCGCCACCACCACCACCACCAACAAAAACAACCACCACCAACAACAACAACCACCACCACGAAGACAAGGACGACGACGACAACAACAACAACAACAAACCAACCAACCAACCAACCAACCACCCACCCACCCACCCACCAACCAACCAACCAACCCACCCACCCACCCACCCATCCACCCAATTCACCCAATTCACCCAAT